TATTAGCATACCTCTGTGCACCCAGTTCGCGCAGACAGGATACTCATCAGCGCGTTCACGCACGCTGTGCAGACGAGCGACGAGGATGGCAGGCAAACATCAACAAGCCGGTCTTCCTTCCTGGTATTGTAGTACTTTTAAAGATTTCTCACCGGTGAATGACACATGATGTAGCCCAGCGGTTAATCCAGTCCTCGCGCCAGCTCGTTAGAAGTGAGCTACGTGCATGAACTGTGTTCCGATCGATATGATCCCTACACAGAGTTCATTGCTCCTTACTCCCTGAGCGGTTGAAATCCGTTGAAGTTTACTTCACTTCGGAACATGGGCTGGAATTGGGAACCTGATGTAGCCTATTGTAGTATTGTTGTCTCTGGTCTGTGAGTGTAAATGCGTTCAGGGGGCGTGGCTTTGAACGGCGATTGCAGGAAGGGTGGGACGTTGGCTTTCAGTGCTATCAGGCTAAAGTTAGCATTTTCCAAGATCTCCTATTGTACCTTTAAGTAAGCTATTCATGCAAACATATTGACCTGGTTTCACAGACGGGGATTAGACTAAACCAGGATTAGGCCATAGTTCAATTAGGACATTTAAGTAATTTTTTATAAATGTGCCTTAGAGAAAACATTACTGGTGTGCTTCTTGAGACAAAACAAAGGCACTGATATATTTTAAGATCAGTCAGTGCAAGTTTCTTTCAGTTGAAACAGCTCAGACTTACATTTTAGTCTGGGACTAGGCTTAAGCCTTGTCTATGAAGCCGGGGGAATCTGTTATGCCTTAAGTGAACGTTTGGGGAACTGTTGGGGAAAAACATCTGATGTGTAGCATTATATTAGATCCGTGTGCATTACAATAGGTCTTAATATATAGATCATCTGTCTCATTAATGTTAACCTAACAATAAAAGAAAGGTCGCTGCTCTTGATTGAACTGCTTTTGTAGTTTTAATAATCAATTTATTTGTAATGGACACTGTGATGATTTTTACATTTGATTATTTGCTTTTCATGCTTTTGTTCCTAGGTGTAAAATGAAAAAAAAAAAAAAAAAGTATTGCACTATTTTCTTTCTTATATTTGTTCTGTTGTTGTTTTTTGCATCTATTCTTATTTTTAATAAACAAAGATAAAATAAAAATGGCTATATTGTGATTATTAATATAGTAATTAATATTAAGAAAGGAAGTGGAGGAAACGATGCAACGTTGCTGGTGATTTTGCTTTGGAACCTTCAGAAAACTTGATTTTTCTCGGAACTGACTTTGCTGACTTCATTGACTTCTAACGGGTGTAGCTCGGTCATTTTTCATCCGATTCCAACCAATTATACATCACTTTGAAGGTCTTTCGAGAAGGTTGAGAAGGTTCTTTCAAGAAGGGCGGGAAGGTTGAGAATGTTAAAATAAAAATAACTAATTTTGCCAACATCGGTCACATTTTATTAAAAACACCAGGCAGACGTAAAGAACAGATGTCTTTATTAGTTTTTCCCATATCATCTAGGCCTACATCGCTTTCTCTTGCTGCTACAGTCATATGTATTTATTTAGGCTTTAATAAATTTCCCTAAGAAATAGGCAAGAATGAGCCTGGTGTCCTCTATGATTCCTCTGTTATCTGACAACAAAGCACTTGAATACGACAAACTCGACTTAAGAAGTGGGAAGTACAAATCTCTCACAGCACGTGAGGGCAGCATTGCTCTGCTAAATTCATGAGTGAATGTTATGCCAAAATTTTGCCTGTTCTGCTGCTTTCAGTCTCTCTCCTGGGACAATTTTCTTTTTTTTTCTTCAGTTAAAGACAATCCATTTATTGAAAACAAGAGTTGATGAATTATCACCAGCAATGCATTATTGAATCATTATTGAAACATAAACATACATGGCCATTCAAAAGTTTGAGTGTCTGTAAGATTTTTTTATTTTATTTGAAAGACGCCTCTTCTCCATTTCTTTGGTCAAAAACACTGCAAAAATGGTAAAATTGTGAAATAGTATTACAATTTGCAATTTTTCGTATGTGAATATCGTATGTTAAAATTTCATTTAATAAACTCAACATCAACACACACAACTCTGATAGGCCCGACTTACAAGGCGACAGGAAAAACGGTGTTGAGTCCAAACTCAAGGATGTTCTCTTTTGTCTTGAGAATGTGTCAGTGCATCTTAACCAGCGTGAGCGGCTGCCAGCAGAGGGTATGTTGAGGATTGTGCACAGATGGTTGAGCCTGTGTTTCCAAGCCAAATCCCTCAGTCTTACCAGGGTTACCTGTTTTACAAACAACTTTAATTGGCATTTTGTATTTACAACACAGGCATACTATAAGCTTCTGGGGTAAAGAGTTGGGGAAATAATTAAATAAAGGGAAAATAAGCTACATGTAGGTTGAGCTCAGTTGATCCCAGCTGCATATGTTGGTAATCACCGCTGCCTGCTGGATTTGCACACAGGCACGCGACAAACAGGCCGCTGATGTGTGTATCATCCACTGCTGCAGTGCATTCTCTGGACCAATGCATTAAATATCAGGGTCTCAATGCAGAGATGTGCAAACCTGAGAGAAGTGTCCAAGAATGGAAACTCTAGATGCTTTTTCTGTAACAGCTTGAGACTTGTACTTTGTTGAGTCTTTAGGGTGCAGGGTTTAGATAATTTTGCACTGGAGACGATTTTTTTAAAGGGGTCATATGATGTTGCTAAAAAGAACATTATTTTGTGTATTTGGTGTAATGAAATGTGTTTATGCGGTTTAAGGTTAAAAAAACACATTATTTTCCACATACTGTACATTATTGTTTCTCGTCTATGCCCCGACTTTCTGAAACGCGTCGATTTTTACAAAACTCATCGGTCTGAAAAACGAGGTGTGCTCTGATTGGCCACATGTGACGACCCCGGGCTGGACTCCGCTTCATCCACGGTGAAAGCCGATCCGGCGATCGACAGCGCGAAGTTGTTGTATTTCCTCCGCAACCAGCACGGATCAGCTCTAGGTATGACGAAGCAAGAGCTTGTAACACTCCAAAGAGAAAGGAAAAATTGAAATCGCATCATATGACCCCTTTAAATCATTTGTAAAATTTCGTCAAAATCCTTCATCTTCTAGTCCTACATCACATTAATTATTAAATTTCCTTTGAAATTATTGGAAATTTGCCTCCAGTGCCAACATTTCTGTTGCTCATAGATGATGACAGTGAATGCTGTTTCAGGCCCATCAACAAGCCAGTTACAAATACTATGCCTGAAACTGCAATTCAGTGGTCTATATCGTCCTCTAGTGGCCGAAGAGCTCCATTTTCCCAAAATTATTATTATTATTATTATTATTATTATTATTTATTACGAACATTATATCAACCAATAAAAGCAGTTAACATACAAAAAACATAATAATTACAATAAAAAGAAAATTAAAAAAATTCTAATAATGACAAAACAAATAAATTACTAGACAGGGGTATAAAAATAAACAAAACACATTACACAGCTTACACATTTAAACTGTTTTTAAAGCCTTCTTATTACATGAGTTAGAAATAGTCCTATATAATAATGCTGTTTTTTAGCAAGCAAAACATAAAACAGTGGCTTCTGATATGAGAAATACAATTTTTAAAGGAGATTAAGTACAATTTGTTTTTCTAAATGCACTTTTTTTTAAATTAACAAGCCCAAACAAAACATTTTCCCATAGTAAAGAAAGATCTTTATCAATGTTCTCAATAACAAATCAAGAGAGGTCTTTCTACAACAATTTAGGGTAATGGCAGTGCCAAAATAAATGCACTATAGTCTCTGGGTGCTGTTTGCAAAAAGAACAGTTTGTATCAATATCTTTTTTGTATTTCTTTAAGAAAGTGTTAACAGGATATATATGATGGATAATTCGAAAGGAAACTTCTTGTATCTTATTATTAGTAATAAAGTATATATTTGGAATCAGCCAAACTTTCCTCCAGGCAATACCAGAGACAAAAGCATTCCAATAAACCGTAACATTTGGAATTGATACAAAATCATTAGCATTTTTCCCTTAATACCTGCCCTAAAACCTTACACAGTGACGCTGATCCGTTTTAAAAACAATTTTACTTTTAATCTAAACATAAATTAATTAATTAACCCAAGTGAAACTATTCAAACATCGACATTACTCTATGTGGCTTCAAAAGCCATTTGTAACTGTATACAACTATAGAATATTCACTTACATATTCACACACACACACACACACACAGTTCAGATGCAAAAGCCTCTAGGTGGCATCTGAAATTTTCATCTAAAACGAGCATTTTTATCAGGCTCCTAGGTTCAGTTTTTTTTTTAACTCTAATGTCAAATGTATAGGCCCTTTTCTATGCAATTAAAGTAAAATAACTGAACATAAATATAGGAGCCTGATAAAATGCTTATTTTAGAAGAAAATTTCAGATGGCACTTAGAGGCTTTTGCATCTGAACTAT